GTGGAATAGAGAGAGGAATCAAATGCATGTGGGAATAGGGCATAGGGTGCCATTGTTGGTTGCTTCAAGCTCTGTCTCTTTCACGACAGCCTTATTGACTGGTAGCATAATTGGCTTCTATCATTCTAAGCAAAAACAAAAAGAAAAAAAACACACACACACACACACTCACACCCAATTTGCTCCATGTTATGCACATATATATTTCCCAACAATAGTAGATTACATAAATTTTAGTATTATTTCAATTTTGGAATTCATTGTCGGTAATATATATAACTATGGGCCTATATATTTTTTAGTTATGTATTTATTTTGTTATTTGATTTTTGGATTTTATAAATTCTCTTCTAAAACTATGAGTTCTATAATATTTGATAATCTTTTACTTGAAAATTTCAGATAATATTTTATATTTTAATATTCATTAGATAAGTTGTATGGAAGATCCCACTTTTACAAAGTAATTTAATTTATATTTACTTTAATTGTTATTTATTTGCTAGTCTATTCATATTTTTAATTTTTATATTACTTTTATTATATATTATAAGAACCATAGGTTATTGGTTTTAAGTTGTCACAATCCTACCTATAAATTTCTTAAGAAGCAAAAAATTTAATCATCATTTTTAAAGGTGAGACTTAAAGTTTTTACTTTAAAATAATAGAAATAATTCACCCGTGAACTACGCACTTATTATGTATATTAAGATTAATGTAAAATTTACTTTTACAAACTAACTTTGTTTTGAATATATATATATATATATATATATATATATACAACTTATTTCTTTTTAGTGTAGAGATGATAATACACTGGTTTGGATTGAATTCTCAAAGTTGGAATTTGACCTAATTGTCTTAGAAAAAGTAAAATTCATGCCTACCAAGTCATTTTTATGTCATCCCGACGTCACTAGTACTATTTTTACTTTGCACGTCTCAAAAGCATTTTTATTATTAAATAAATAAAATCAAAATATAATTTTAATATTTTAAACAATAATGTTTAGCCTTCAAAAATAATTTTACTTTTTATTAAAAAATTACACTTAAAATTTAAAATATCAGTTACCAAATACACAAATTATATATATATATATATATATATTTAAACTCAAATATTTTTTATTATTATTTTTATTAAACTTCAAATAAATTTTTACTAAAAATTAGTTTAATAGTATTTTTAAAATAATTAAAGCTACTCCAGATGCTCACTAACTTTGGTACAAGTACCTATTGCATGGTCCCCTTGGAAACTTTATTTAAAGGAGTCAAAACTCAAGCTTGCACGCCTTGACAGTAACAAAACTACCAGGTGTACAATTCTGTGCCTTGATTTTTGGGAAGCATTTTACATTACTGTTAGGATTTGTCTAATTATATACCTATTTCTCCCAAATAAATGAAAATAAAACTTACCTCAGCCTTGATTTACATGAACCTCTCCACCATGAATGAATCTGTAGAAAAAAAAGAAGAAGAAGAATCAGTAAATAACTGAAATTCTTGACGGAATTCTTATTTCTATATTAGCAAATCAATCATTCAGGAAGATTCCCATCTCCTGCCGACAGTCAATAAGACAAGAAATCTGCTCAAGATAGTGGAAAAGTGCTATTATGTTGCCTTAGAGTTATCATTTCTCCCACTAGTTTTTCTAATAGTTCAATAATTTTACCTAATAATCATTAAGCATTGCATAAGGATCAGATAAAACTACACAGCATTAGGGTGATTACTATGCAAAATTATTAGATTCTTATAAAATATTCAAAAATTACCTCAAAGGTATGATTTTCTCTGGAACACTGTATAATTTCCCAGCATTGATAGGAAATTAGCGTGCAACCCAGAATCAGAAAACAAAATACAAGCAGTTAAACAGGCAGAATACAGTGAGTATCAGTGAGCTTGTTTTGTACTGATAGCCTGATTAAGATAGGAAACAGAAAAGAGTAGAAGACAAATAAACAATAATTTGTGGGAAGCTGATGTGTTAAAGGCTAAAAAAAGTATGTGCCGTAAAGATAAAGGAAGAAAAGAAAGAAGGAAAAGAAGAAATATGTATCTTGGTTCTCACCTCTTTCCCTCCCTGGATTAGAAGTAACCCGTCGTTGTTGTCTTTTTATGCAACAACAGAAAGCTAGAGGGACCATTGAGTTTGGAATTTTGCAGGAACAGTCACGGGAAAATTTTCCAAGGGTTCCACACCTCTGCATCTCTCCCTCTCTTCCTCTTGGTGTTATCCCATGCAGAGCACTTTGACTACCAAATGAAACCATCTCAAACAAATCCATGGCTTCCATGTCTCCTTTCCCTGCATTAGCTTCATTTCATGATCACGAAAAACCAGACCTCAATTCCATACAGGAACTTGTCATTTCTGTCAACAAGTACATTGTTGAGCTCTTAGCAAACACCGAGATCTGGAATTCACTGAGAATTAGATGCACCTCCAGGTTACATATTGAAAAGCAGGAGTTCTTCGAATTTTCAGAGCATTCTGTCATTTCAAATTTGTACTGGGGGATCGACAGCATTGAAAATGCAATTCGAGCAAAATTTTCAGAAGAAAGAACTTGTCGACTGCAGAATTCTGAGAGAATGCTTCAGGTCCCAGCGTTACTAGACGAGCATGGAGTTACAGCTGGAATTCCAAACCACTATTTGGTTGCCTCTTCCTACTTTTATCTCTCAATGGTGAGAAAACTCCAAGGTGATCAATGGCAGGCTGCACTGCATTTTGTCCAAGCATTCTTGGTCTCTCCAAGATTTGTCCAAACTGAAATTGCTCTAGAACTTTGCCAGAGTCTTTTCCCCTCCTGCTCGACATCTGAAACGCATTCAAAGGAGACAGGAAGAAGGTCAGAATCTGTTCTTAGCAAGGATTTTAATGACAGTAACTGTGAAGCTGCAAGGCAGATTGCCAGAAGATATAAATATTACCTAACTTACTATCAAGTCATGTCATATGGAGAGACCACTCAACAGTTTAATGGCAGTGAAGATGTGCCTCTCTTTGATATCAAATCACAGAATTATGGGTAAGTTATTTCCGGCACAAGTTCTGAAATTTGTTCCATACATAATCTTAAAAGAACATATGAAGTAAATTCCAAAAACTACTCTTGCAAACCCAGTACTCATATTGGAAATTTGGTAGGTCTGATTGGCTTTTCTAGTGATTGCCAAATCAAAACAATAACATTCTTCTCAGACATACCGAACTAAGATTTTTTGATTGCCTATGAAAAAAAAAAAAAACTCATATTCCTTCTCCATATACAGGGATGGGACATCCAGTGCTGCAGAATCTTCAAAGTTAGATGAGCATGCAACCAAATCACAAACATATTGTACGGTAGGTCTTAAATTTAATCTTTACCCATTTCTTGTCAATCAGAATGTACAAGAATTTTATAAACAAAGGTTCTTTTATGTCTTCCTGCAGATGCTCAGCCCCAAATCTACCTTTCAAACTTAGAATTATCACCTAAATGAAAATTTTTCACTTCATACTCATAACGTTTCTTTTTCCATGTACAACAAAAAGAAAAAAGCAATGCAGTTTGAGAAAGTCCACCCAGTTGATTTTCAAGAAAATAAAACTGATCGCGTCACAGAAGTACCTAAGACAAATGGGAAGATACCAGAAATTCAAGATTATAGTCAACATTTGAACCAAATTCCAAAGTTAAAACTTCGCAAGGCAAAGTTGAACACAAATCTAACCATCAGATGCCTCCAGGATATCCTGGGAGAATATCAGTCAGATTCACCAACCTCAGTAGATTCACATTACAATGATTCTGGAGAAGATGATTTTATGGTACCTGTTTAAAAGACATCACTATGCATCAATTATTTTATAGAAAAGTTGCATGTAAAATCTCTTTTGTTTCCCCTTTGAAATTTTTAATGGCATAAAAGAAAATAAATTGGCCCTATAGCAGCATAATCTCAAACATGTCCCTTTGAATCAGGAAAATATGGATGCTGTTAAAAGCTCAGGAAGAGCCGCAAGCACAAATGCAGGAGATCTGCAACCAGGAATTTGTCATCAGTTAGGTCCACATTAACTTAGACAATGCTTAGGCCTATCATGAAAATTTTAAAATACCATAATTGAGTAAACTTTTCTAACTTCTACTGGACACAGGAAGCTTGCTGCTCCTTGCTCTACATCAGGCCGAGAGGGCACAGGAAAAAATCTGCTACAAGCTCCTGAGCATCTAATGCACAAAGAAGATGAACTCTATACCAAAAAGTCTTTTTCTGGCATATCTCTCAATTCTATCAGTGATTTAAATTTATCCATCATGGAGCTCCAAGGTAAGGACTCAAACAGCTTTCCTGATGCCTATGAGGAAGATGCTGCAAATCAGATGATATTAGAGATGCATAAAGTCCAGGGCCTTGAACACATAACATCTACTAGTCTGAAGAGCTGTAGGTTCACCCAGAGGGACAATCGAATGTCTGCTACAAGGAAAATGTGGAATTCCCATAGCCAAAAAAGATCAAATGATGTTTGCATATGGTCGGCAAAAGATCCCAAGAGTGAATTACTGGCTAAACTTGAGGATGCGATTTCAAAACTATGTTTTTCGAAAATACTACACAAACATGATGAAGATTATGCTGTAGAAGCTACAACCATTTGTGAAATGTTGAACAGCAAAACAGGGCTAAAATATACTATGCTAAAAGATGTGATTCTTGATCAACTACTAGCAGCTATTACGACTTCCAAGGAGGAAACAGCAATAAGGGCATCGGTCTCTATACTAACAACAATCATTTCAGCAAACAAATCAGTCATAGAGGATATAAAGAAGAAAGGTTTGCAGTTAAGTGATTTGGCAAGTGCTCTAAAACAAAATGTACACGAGGCAGCTACCTTAATCTATTTGATAAAGCCATCTCCTACAGAAATAAAGAGTCTAGAACTTTTACCTGCACTGGTGGAGGTTGTGTGCACTTCAAAAACTTACAAGTGCAGGCCAACATCACTTCTATTGACACCCCCTGGGGCATCATTAATGATTATTGAAGTGCTAATAACTGCATTTGACTACGATACGAACAAAACGCACTTGGCCGCAATCAATTCTCCCCGTGTCCTCAATGGACTTCTGGAAGTTGCAAAAGATAGAAATCTGAAAGAATTCATATCTTTGGCCACTGTTCTAATAAAATGCATGCAGTTTGATGGCCAGTCAAGGAAATATATATCTCAGATTACTCCTGTTGCTCCATTTATCAGTCTCCTACAAAGCAATGAGAAGCGTGCAAACTTCGTAGCACTTGAATTTTTCCATGAGATACTTCGCATGCCACGGTATGAGCACATCACTCATAACCATCTTCAATTTCACTGTGCTATTCTATTGTTATATGGGGACACAAGCAGTTCAAATGAAATCTGGAAAAAGTTTGATTTGTCATATACTGTATGGCATTTGCGCTTGTCGGTATTTTTTACTGAATCTAACCCCCTGAACTATCTCTGCCACTGCAATGATCACAAATCACTTTATTGGCCATGTGATTCAATCTAATCTAGTGCCTCCGAAGGAATGTAAATATGATCGAGAATCTAGCATAACCATGTTTACTAACATTCATGTTGGAGAAAAAGTTCCACCCATTATCCACCAACTATTTATGATGATATTAAATAAAACTATTTATTGAGATTAGTCTTCAACCAAAACATCCCTGTTCAATGACAAAATTCAGAAATAACCATGTTGTTTTTCAGGTCATCAGCCATTAGCCTATTGCAGCAGATATGGAAAGAAGGAAGCATACACCTTATGCAGACACTAATTCTTTGTGTCCAACAATTGCAGTCAGATTACCAACTTTTTGCAGCAAATTTATTACTGCAATTGGATGCACTGGTAAGCTTTTTAACAATAGGAAGACAAATGTTATGGCATAAATTATGGCAAATAAGAAACTTTAACATATGACTTTAGGGATAATCATCCATTCAAACTATTATAGCTTACTCCATGTAGAAGATTTCATCCTTAAGCAGGGATATCTTAAGCTGCCAAAAGAAGTTGCCTAGCTCAAAAATTTACTGCTGCAATTGGGGTGCACTGGTAAGCTTTTTAATAATAGGAAGACAAACGGCATGGCATCAATTATGACAAATAACAAATTTTTTGTATATGACTTAAGGTAGTCATCCATTCAAACTATCATAGCTTCCTCTATGTGGAAAGATTTCATCCTTAAGCAGTGATATCTTAACATGCTAAAAGAAGTTGCCTAACTCGATGACAACTCTATGCAGGATAATTCATCCGGTAAAAGTATGTTCAAAGAAGAGGCTATGAAGGCCATCCTAAAGTCAATGGCTGAAGAAGGTTCTTCAAACCAGCTATTAGCCTTATTCATTTTATCAAATATTGGTGGAACTTATACATGGACTGGGGAACCGTATACAGTAGCATGGTTGGTCAAAAAGGCAGGTTTAACTTCCTTGCACCACCGGAATATGATAAGAGATTTTGATTGGTTGGACCAAAGCTTACAGGTATTATGTGAGAAGTATCACTATAATCCACTCTATAACAAAATATTCTTTTCTTTTTCTTTTTGCCTATAGAGATCTAACAGATAAACAGAAATACATAACTTACAGGATGCAGGTCTAGATGCATGGTGTAGTAAGATCTCAAGGAGTATCATCGACATGGGAAAATCTGTTTTTGATGCTTTAGAGAAGGGAATAAAGAGTAAGATAAAGAGGGTTTCAAGAGAATCTCTCACAACTATTGCATGGCTTGGTTTCGAAATAACAAAATGCTCAAATGCGGTAAAAAATTTGGCATGTGAGATCCTCCTTGGAGGGACTGAGCAATATTTGCACCCTGGTTTTGAGCTTGAGGAAAGGTTTCTGGCATGTTTGTGCATCTACAACTATGCCTCTGGTAAAGGTAATGCTTAACCTGTCTAAGAACAACAAGGAGAATTATTAATATATGAATAGTAACTGGTTAAAATCAATTATCTCACAAGAATTGCTTACGAAAGAATGCACTACAAAGGATTCGGCTACTGATTGGAAAATCAGTACTTTGGATTGTGTCAAATCTGTTAAAAAATTAAAATTTTCTCATAACACATTTATATCATTTCCGAGTTTTGGAGGTAACTTTAATTCCAAAAGTTGTAATTTTACAATAACCTCCAAAAAATGTCCTTACAATCTGCCAAGATGCTTAACCAAATAATGGATCTGAGGAACACTATGAAGAAAAATGAATAATTTTTAGTTCAAGAATAAGTACAAATATGATCCTAAGCACTGATTCTTTTAAAATTTTAGAAATCTATAAGACGAAAAGGGTTTGCCAATGAACTAATATTATGAGAAGCTAATTGATACTTCACACATAAGTCCTAAAACCATTATCCATAAACACACATATACCTGCATATGCTTATAAGATCTGTCCTAAAAACTCCCTGCATTGATGGCCATGAAAGACCTTTTGCATGATCTGTGTTATGGAACCTGTCAAACATATGTTAAGATGCATTTGCTCTAATGTAGGGATGAAGAAGCTAATCCATTTCTCGGAAGGAGTCAGAGAATCTCTGAGACGTTTTTCAAATGTCACGTGGATGGCAGAGGAATTGCATCAAGTAGCAGATTACTATCTGCCAAATAAATCAGTAAGTATTGAATAACACATCTAAATCATATTTGAACCATAACATTTTCTTCCATTTTCTTTTTCGTTTTGGATCCATCTTCTGGAAATTACTGAGAACACAACCATGAAACTTCTAAGAAATTGAAGCCATGAGCATAAGTAACAGATGACATGCCCTTAGGATTAAGTAACAGTACTAGAAGATACAACTGCTTGTTATACACGTTCATTTATCATATCTTGACCAATGCCTTAATCATAAGAGCAGCGTATTTCTTGTGTTCACACACAAACTGCGGAGATGCGTCAGAGCAGCAGTGGTGCAGTGAGTGCCCTCATCTACTACAAAGGCCTGCTTTACAGTGGTTACTCAGATGGCTCAATTAAGGTATAGAAAATTTCATATAATTGCTTCTACATTCATAATTCTGGTCATTGTCAAGAAAAGACTTAAGCATATTTTCTTTGTCTACGAGATACCAAGAGAAAGCTCTAAAGATTACCATCCAATTTCTCACCTATAGAAAGATGATGTGGTTAAAGATCCATAATATTGCCTTTGTCATTTGGGTGATTCAAATAGGTGTGGAACATCCAAATGCAGTCAGCTACACTTGTATGGGAAACTAATGAACACAAGAAGGCAGTGACATGCTTTTCACTCTTTGAACCAGGGGAACGTCTTTTAAGTGGATCCGCAGACAAAACCATCAGGGTCTGTTGATTATGTTTTTTCTGTTGTAATTTCTGCAAGAGCATTAATTCATTACTTGAATAGTTAAAGCCAGAATCTGGACTGATTGGAAAATCCACCTTGCTTCTAAAGGTCTGGCAGATGATCAAAGGGAAACTGGAATGCATTGAAGTCATAGCAATGAAAGAACCAATTCGAAAGTTGGATACATATGGAAAAATTATTTTTGCAATTACCCAAGGCCACAAGATGAAGGTAATATCACTAGCAATCCATAATGCTGATATTATGAGAACCAATATGCTTATTCTTTAAAGTGGAATTAGCATTTATTTCTCATCAGGCTGAACTCATCCTTCGAACAGACACTTCAGAACAAACACTCATATACGCCGAAACTAGATGCTTTAAATGGCAAAAATCAAACTTCCAATAACCTTGGTAGAACTATGTATGGGATAAATTTAACTTTTAAAAATTTCATCTTTACCAGCTGATAGATTCATCGAGAATGGTGAAAAGTATCTGCAAGGGTAAAAGTGTGAGCTGCATGACTGTAGTTCAGGGGAAGATTTACATGGGCTGCACGGATTCAAGCATAAAGGTTAAATTAAGGTCTTGTTTTGTAAAAACTCAAGGACCAATTCAAACCAAACATGACATACATTTTTTTTTTGTAGGAGTTAAACATAACAAACAATCGGGAGAGAGAAATCAAAGGACCAGCATCAATTTGGAGGATTCAAAACAAACCAATCAGTACAATCCTAATGTACAGAGACTGGCTCTACAACTCAAGTTCGGCCGTTGAGGTTTCAAATATCAAGGTAAGCAAACTATGACTGACATAATAAGATTGGAACCCATGAATGACTGAACGAATGATACAGGAATGGAGAAAGCACTGTGAGCCTCAAATGTCAATAGCTGCAGAGAAAGGAGCAAAAATACTAGCAATGGCAGTTGTTGAAGACTTCATTTACCTAAACCGCAGCTCATCGACAAGCACCCTTCAGGTACTTGGTTTAACTACCTGTGAGTAAACTAAAAATGTGCTAGAACTGGTGATATTGAACGAACCTTGAGACAGCCTACCTGTATGTTAGAATCCACAGAAATGCATCAATATTCTCCCAATACAACAACGTCTCACTTTATTAATATGGAGCTCTTGTCCATAACAATGATATAATCAATCCCAAGTAGTTTAGGTTCAGGCTGAAATGGGTTACAAACCAATAGTTGTTCCTTTCTTTTTCTCTAACACAGAAGCATTTCTTATGAAAATAAGATATGGCTGAGAAAAACACACCAGAAAGTGGGAAGAATATCAGCAGGGAGTAAGATAACAAGCATCCTCACTGGCAATGACGTTGTTCTATGCGGTACAGAAACAGGGATAATCAAGGTCATGAGGCATTTCTTTCAAGTTCTATTCAATCTTGTTTAGCAATGCAATGATTTTCATGGTAAACTTACTATCTCCCCTCAAACTAACAGGGCTGGATCCCCCTATAGCAGGAAAACCCTGCAACTTTTTTCATCACAAGCCCGCATACAAAAACTGGAAACCAAAGTCAGAAAGCAAGAGAGCCGTTGTATATTTTTTAAGCACTGGGCCAAATACAGAAGTGGTGTTGAACTGGAATGTGGTTGTAAATGAAGAATGTTAATTTGTAATTAATATAGTAGTTGCATGGCAGAAAATGGGCGATTGCTATAGAGATATATCACAGAATTTTGTCTACTTTACAAGAAATTTATAATATAAGTATTTCAGTTGTATTTTCTACAGCCACATGATGAATTGAGGATCAAAAGTAACGCCAAATCAAGCAATAAGAACACAATTTTCAAATTAATGTCAACATGAACAGAAATAAATCAGTCAGAGTTACCAACAGAAAAACTTGAATTGAATGTTGGTACATGCAAAAGAGACGAAGTTTTCGGTAAACCAAGACAAAGAGGCCGTCATCTTCATCTCCAATCGTGAATCAATAAAGATTTGGCGGTGAGATATGACTAACAGCATAGCCAAGACAACTTGATCCCACACTGCCGGTTATTGCCGGGAAATTACGTAGTAGGAGGGTCAAATTATAGTTACTAAACAATTAAAATGGAAATAGAAAGAATTACTCCTCCCATTCAAGAATTTGATTGCCTGTAAGTGGCAGCCTGATAAGCAGGGCATCAACCATAAATAGCAGCCTCCTGGCTGTATCATTCCAAGTTAACTTTCGCTTTTTCCCTTTCAATTTCTCACATTGCAGCTCTTGTAAAACTGGTTTCAATTTCTAATTAAATTTAAGATTGAACAAACGCTACAACTACAAGAAAGCAGTAGATTTTCAATAATATGATTCGAGATGAATGTCTCTTCGACTTACCGTAAATATTGTGCTGACTGCTTCTTTGTGATCCATCTGTTTTCGGCCTGTATAGTTTAGGCTTGCGCTGCAAAAGTTATACGAACTCAGGAACGTTTTATTTATTTTTTGGTGGAGACAGGCGGTGGAGAGGTGGGACCCATTTGAATATTTAAAAATAATATAAAAACCAATTTAATATTTAGGTTTATTTTAAAATTAAATAAGAAAGATTTAAGATTAAATTTTGTATTTAACAAAATAATCAAATTATAAAATAAAATACTTAGGAATAATTAATGTAATTTATGTTATCATTACCTAAATTTTACTATTTTAATATTTATTATTCACATTATTTTAAGGAATTAAACTTAGTACTATACTTTATATTGAAATTATTTTTACAATAAGATTTACTTAATACCATATTACTAAAAATTATTTCAATAATAGCTATTTTCACATCTATTTTAGTAGCTTATAATACAAAAATTAATTTGACTAAATAAATAATAAATCTTATATTTTAATTATTTTTTAAATTTAAAATCAAATTTAATTTACCGTCAAAATAAAAAGTTGAAAATCTTCGTCTTCGATCTCTCTTCGCAACGCAATAAAGAAGTCTAACTGTTTCTCTCGGCATCTGTCTTTTAAGTCATTGATCAACTATCTATAAGCTAGTAGCAGGGGGGTCTGCGTTCACTATTAAGCCTACGCCCGTCCATTCCTTTGAAGCTTGATCCCGCCCTTAGACTCGTTACGCTGTTCGACTGAACTCGTTGGCTCCGCGTCGGTCGGAACCCGGTTCGAGAACCTTTTCTCATAGATTCCCTTCACCAAGTCATCGCCAGCAATCAGCTCTTATCCCTTGGTATCAAAGGGCGAGTTCCTTTCTTGTCTTGCCCAAAAACTCTCTTTATTCTCATTGGAGAAAGACTCTCTCGCGGCAAGGTTTTACACATAGGGCCAGCTGCTTTCTTTATCTCGCTTGCCGTTAGTCCGTCTAGCGCCTTTCGGTTGGGGTCCGCCCCGGGGGTTAGACCGCTTGGGTTATCTTTGTCTCGAAGGCAGTCAAGGTCTCAGCCATTCTTCTCCCATTAGACTTGTCAATCCTTTGCTCTTTTTCCTTCTCTCTTCCAGTTCTCTCCCTCTACTTTATTTGACAGGGGCGGAGAATACCACTCTATCAATAACAAGAAAAAAGTAGCAATTCAGTTTCAAATGGTTTGAGCTTGGAAACAACCTGCTATCTATCGATAGGCGAGAACAGACTGCTATTGGCTGCTTCGCCTATCTAGCCCCCGGAAGTGACTTCGATACGCTTCCTTCTTCCTTTGCTCCTTCCTCTAATTGGTACAGCTATCACTAATTCCGTCTATTGCTCCTTAAGGTGATAAAGACTCTGTTTAGTGTAAGAGTCAAGCGGTAAAGGGGCGAAGCGGTTAAGCAGGTAAGAAAGTCATAAAGGTACGAAGGGAATATCTCCATACTAGCAATCAGGCAATCCGGTAATCAGTATTTGGCATGCCCTACCTCTCTCCACCAATGGCTTAGCTATCTCTGCCTTCCTCCTCTCTCTCCCTTTGTTTAGCAAGATAGGAGTACTCTCTTTCCCGCTTGCGGGAGCAAAGGCATGAAGGAGCTTACCTTACTAAGGCATTCATTCAAAGGATTTTGGCTTCATCTGGCGTCCATCAGAGAGCGGTAAGAGTACTTAACATTTCCCTTTGGAAAGCATTTCTTTAGGAAGGAATCCCCTGTCATTTCCCAATTCTTTAGAAGTTCAATTGCCTAAAACCCGGAAATCCCCACTCGCTTCATTCTATGCTTGAAAGGATCAGGAACAGAGGGACAAACAGAAGTCGATACAAGCAGAATGACTAACCAAAGTACGTTCAGTTTCATCACCCGGGCCGGACCGACAGCGGAAGCCTAGCACTAAGTTCAATCTCCAGCGACAACGGTCCCAAATGCATGAACGACGAATTGCCCGCCAACTATGGACGGTATAGAAGATTCACTTCGCGCATACACCGAGAACACGGCATAGCCGCACCCCTTATAAATAACAAGGCCATTGCTTGGCTGCTTTCTTAAGTGAATTGGGGTCAATAGCAGGTGTGAAGCAAGAAGGAAGAGAGAGGCCTGTGCACAAGCTTGATGTTCAAAAGCCCAGGATCAGAGTGCTTCGCCCTAGAACAGAACATTTCACTCTATTTTCATTGGTCGCTCCTTGATTAGAGCATGGCAATTCGATTCAGATTTGGCAATCAATTAAGAAGGGTCTCCCCGAGGGGGATCAAGAGACAGCTTTTAGTCTCTCCCCCGGGTTCTGAGAAGAGCTGGTGCCCCAAACTCCTCTCTTTGGCTTATATCCATAGTCTGACCCGACCTCCTCGGAGACGCTTTGAATGATTAAAACGAGCTTTTCACTCGAAAAAGAAGGAGAGTTTTTCTTCTTGCATGCATCCTCTACTATGAAAGCTTACCTGGAATAAGGAAGAAAACCCTGATCATCCGCTTTAGCATAATTTCGTTTAAAGCATTTTTGAACTCGTTTAAGGAATTGATTGATCGAGTCCAATCAATGGGGTCTCCGGTAAGCCCCTTCGGGCCCTTTCACTTTCTTTTTTGAATCAAAGCAGGAACCTCTTCCAATTTCAAAGAATAGCCATAGCTTAGTGCCCGTAAACACATCCATCGGTTTTCATCTTCCCCGGCACAGTTTTAAAGTCCAGTCTCACAAGTACCAGAGCTATATATCCCTTAATCCAGTATTAGGTCACGGATACCAGTGAGGAGAGCCCGAAGGAGACAGAAAGAGACTCCCTTGAAAGAAGTACGATCAGAAAGGCTCCTCCTTACCAAAAGAAAGTCAAGCCCGATCTCTTTTCTTTCTTTTTTGTATTACCAAACCTAGCTTAGCCTTCGTCAATCTAACTAGAAGGAGACTCCCAACTATGGCAAGGCCCCCTTCAGGCTTAGGTTAGTCAATCCGGCCCTAGACGCCTTCGTTGAGAAAATCGCCGTAGGAATGGAGATCTTTCTTAGAGGGCTAGAGCATCTAAAGCTGAGCTGGAGAATATTCAATGCCTACTTTGAAATTATCCTAGAAATGACTCTCTTGCTGCAGAAGAGAAAAGGCTAGCTGTGAAGTATAGAGAACTCAGTACAGCTGAAGAAGCTTTTTTCAAGCAAAAGTCAAGAATTTCTTGGATAGATTTTGGAGATCAGAAGACTGGCGCCTACTAAAATAGTAAGCTCCAAAAGATCAAAAAAGACTATTAGGAACTCTTTATAGCATAGCTCTGATGGCAGAATGAGGAGTTCAAATTCAGAATGAGGCTGTGGCTTTCTATCAGAACAGAACCTGCTAGGGAAGTCTGATGAAGATCTTTCGGGGGGATAAATTTCTGATTTCAAAAGCCTATTACAGATAGAGATTTTTTCATATTGCAGAGGTATGCTGCTAGAGGAAGTGACTCAGGATGAGATCAGGCAAACCATCTTTTCCCTCAATGGGAACAAGGCTCCTGGGCTTGATGGTTATACAGCTGACTTTTGAAAGCCAGACTGTAGTAATCTTGGTGGTGAGGTAACTAGACCTATTTCTGACTTTTTCATGAATCGCAAGCTCCTTCATGAGGTGAATGCCACTACTATTTGTTTGCTTAGTCCCAAAGTGAACCCTGAAAGAATGAGTGACTATAGGGCTCTTTCCTCTTGTCAAACTCTCTACAAATGCATTTCCAAGATCTTAGCTAATAGAATGAAGTTTTAAATTCCTCAGATCATCAGTCCTAACCAATGTGCTTTCATTGAGGGGAGGAAGATTGTGGATAATCTCCTCTTAGCTCAAGAAATTTCTTTTAAGCACTCTCATAGGTCTGGGCTAACCTCTAGATGCACTTTGAAAATGGATCTTATTCAGGCTTTTGACTCAGTGAACTGGTGCTTCCTTTTGAATATTCTGCTTGCTTTGGGCTTTCCTGGGAAGTTTGTAAACTTGGTGAAGTCTTGTATCACTACAACAAGGCTTTCTCTTGGAGATAGAGGGTTTTCTGGGCGATTTTCCTGGCAAAAAGGCTTTGAGGCAAGGTGATCCTATGTATCCATACTTTTAATAGCTATGGAATTGCTTTCTTTCTTCACTTCTAAACAAGGCAGATATGGAGGGAACTTGACCTTTGAATCCTAAATGCAAAGAGGTTAGATTCACTCATTTATGCTTTGCTGATGACCTTATGATCTTTTTTGATGGTAGCTGTCAAGCTATTCAAGCAGTCACAGGAATGAATCTTGCAGGCTTTCTTTTAAAAAAGTCTCAGGCCTGAAGTTCAATGCTTTCAAAAGTGAGATTTTCTTCTCTGGTGTGGATGAGAATCATATTATGCAAATGCAGCAGCTTACTGCTTTCAAGATAGGGAAGCTTAATGATAATGATTGCAAGCCCTTGATTGAAAGAATGACTTATAAAAGAAATAGCTGGACTTCTAAGCATCTCTCATTTGCTGGTAGACTGAAACTTCTGAATTCTTTAATTGTCAGCATTCAAAATGATTGGTGCTTTTTATATTGCCTAGCTTTGTCATAAAAAAAAGCTATTGAGAGAAAGTGTAATGCTTTTCTGTGGAATGGGAAATTCTTTGGAGAAAGTCACCTATCCTAAGAAAGAAGGTGGTCTGGGAATCAATCAAATTGTGGATTGGAAGAAGGCCTGTGTGCTGTGTGCTTAGAGGTATTTGGTCTCCTTTCACCAAATCTGGCTCACTATGGGTGGAATGCGTGAACAAAGATCTGAAAAAGCGGAAGTTTGGGGTCTTAATCTTCCGCTCTTGGGAGTGGAGAAAGCTTTGGAAGCTAAGGGAAAAAGCCAGAAGAATGATTTTTCATATCATTGGGAAGGTCACATTCTTTTGGTGGGATTCTTGGCATCCTCATGGGGCTTTGCTGCAGAGCTACCGCAGGAGAATTGTTTATGATTCTGCAATCTCCATTGATACTGAGACAATAGTAGCAGCAGTTATTCAAGACAATGATTGGAAATGGCCGCCAGCTAGATCTGAGGACCTAGTCCAAATTCAAAGTGTCATTTGTGGAGTTCTCTTTCCTAAGCAGCAAGAGGTAGACAGGGTGGACTCCTTCTCAGAATGGAGAGTTTGAAGTTAGCAGCTCTTGGGAAAGTCTGAGAAAGAAAAATGTGAAAGTGGACTGCTTCATGTGTGGGGTTCTCATTGAATCCTAAGACCGAGTTTCATTTGCTGGCTTGCTATACTCAACAGACTATCAACAAAGGAAAGGCAAGCTAAGTGGGGTAGGCAAGTTTACATGCAATCTTTACTGTGTCAGCAAGATATAGAGACCAGAGATCACTTATTCTTTTCTTGCCCTTTGAAAAGGAGCAATATCTATAAAGATGTGGGGGGATAGAATGATGAATTGAATTGGGCTAAGAAATCTCTCTCCAAGAAGAGTGTGCTGGCTGTCTTGCTTAGATTAGCTTGGTGTGCTTCCATCTATTATATCTGGGGAGAGAGGAAGATAAGATTGCATCAAGGCAGCTGTCTTTCAGTTTCAAGTCTTGTCAACTTTCTTCTTGCAGATCTTAGCTTAAAAATGCAGTCTTGGAAGGAGTTAAAGATCAAAGTTGAAGTCACTCAACTCCAAGAACTATTCTGTGCAACTGGAATCTGAGATTTCCTTACTAATTGGAGCTCTTTAATTCCTTGCCATTAGTTTCTTCATCTGTATCTCTCAGACTTTTTTTTAGAGAACAGGCATTTTTTTGCAGTCTGCAGCTTTGGAGGAGTTTGGCCTTCTGCTGGTCTATTGGGTCTTTGCTCTAGATTTGATCTTCTTTCTTTTTTTTAGCTTTGCTTTCTTTCTATCTTCTGTGATGGGATTGATTCTAATCCTTTGCTTTTGCTTCTGCTATGTCAGTAGCTTTTCTTTAAAAGTTTTCTTGTGTGGCCTTGTAGCACTACGATGAAAGACTTTTCTGCCTAGTAGACTGAAAGGCTATTTCATCCCCTCCCCTAGGCGAGGGCTTTCCGAGACCAATCTGACCAACTAAACCGAATCAAGGGAATAGGAGTCAGCCACGGAAGACTTTACCGAATCTCCAGGTATATTATCTCCAATCGGGCAAGGTGCGTAGCGTAGAAGGAGGCTTCTTCCCATCTCTATCGAAAGAGAGAGCAGTCGTCACATCTGCGCTAGGTAGCTCTAAAGCTTACCGTCAGCCTTGATCCACTACTTCTTTTTTTTTTTTATATACGATCGCGCCGGCAATCAAAGAAAGCAGCAAAACCAACCTGCCCAAGCGGATTTGGCTAAACAAGAGAGAAAGGCCTTCTTCTTCCTCTCCGAGGGTGACTCCCTTCCTTAACCCATGCCCTTACTAAACGACCAAGAGCTAGCCACAAGAGCTATACCAAAATGAAACTGCCTTACCCGGGTCAACTACCTTTAGAGCGACTACCCTTAGAGAGATGTTCGCACGAAGATAAGGAGATTGGCCGGGTGATTGGAATATGAAGATAACTCTTTTTATTAGAAGTCAGAGATGGGCCTTGAGCCAGCTATGGAACTAAAAAAGCATTTCTCGATCTAGGTCTGGGTCTGGCATCGATTCCTTCTACCCTTCTTCCAACAGCTCTTAAAGAGAAAAGACTGTCTTAGTCTATGTCCCACGACGGACCGACAGTAGTTGAATCATCAACTTTCTCGATCTCGGCGGGTCGCTTACACGGAGGTAGAGTCAGCTGACCGTTAACGATCAAGATGTCAAAGATGGCGTCTACCTGACTTTCATCGAAATCCCCGACTTGAGAGAGTCGTTCTTTGAGAGAAGAGATCTTTTCTTTCTCATGCACCTCCTTCTCGCCATCTCATAAAAGAAGCGTAGTATAGGCGGACCCACCAACTCTCGCTTTGTCAATCTGGCGTATCCCTTTTCAGTTCTCCTCGGACTCTCCTGGCACTATCTTCCTTCTATAGAGGGCAGGTTCTCCTTTCTTTCCCATAAGGAAATAATTTGATCGTTATGAGCAAATCCAAAATCTTTGTAAATATAACCAATCATTAGTTCCCAACCGTGAGGCGAATGGAATCCGATACATAAATCAGTTAATAAAAGAATAGAAAAAGCTTTGATTGTGTCGCTTAAATTATATAGGAATTCTTGAACCCAAGAGTTAATAATAAGAGTCAGGGTATGAATTGTGCTTTTAATTAAAATTATCTTTTATATATTTAGTTTTTTTTAAAAAAAATTAAAAATAAAAAATTAGCACAATTCATCAAATAATAAAATGGATAATAGCTAAATGCTTACTTTTTTATTTGATAATGTATTTTTTATTTATTTTTAAAAAATTAATAATTTAAATTTTATATAAAAAAATATCTTATAAAAAAATAATTCTAAAAAAAATTAACTAAACCCACTATTAAATCATCGAAATGACCGAATACAATATAAGAAACGTGACCCTGCTTCCACATCCTTAAGGCTTGTGAACTCTCTCCGAGTTAGAGCTATATTTCTATCATTCCTATCAACACAAAATAATCTCTCTGTAACCATAACCTTCATCTACATTTAATAAGGTTTGTATAGTTTTTTCATTATTTGATTATCAGTTTTTCTGTCAAATTTATAGTTAAATTTTGTATTTATTTATTTAAAAATTTGTGTAACAACATGTAATCAAGATATTGAAAATTCATAATTTTAAGAAATTATGTAATTTTTAGATAAAAATTTTAATAAAAATATAAATTTAAATTAAAATATATGAAATTAGGGCATTTTAGAAAAATGGGAAAGGAAAAAAATTGAAAATTAAGAAAAGAATCCCTGAAAATATTAATTTTAACAATTAGGAGTAAATGGAAAAGAATATAGAAACGAAAGGGCCAAACTGTAATTTAAAAAAGAAAGAAAACGAAGAAAAGTTGCAAAGAGGGGCCAAATTTAATTTCTAAAAGTTTTGACACCCGAGCAGGTGAGATGTCAAAACGGGCCCAATTGAACAGCCAGGGGTTATTCTCGAATGTGAAAAGACTAAAATAACCCCCATCAATCCAGCGGTCCAGATATTTTAAGAAAAAGATCAGACGGATGGCACTTAGAGTATTTAAATAAACCCCAAATTGATTTTCGCCCTTTTTGAAAGAGATCGCCGCCGAGTGGAGAGAGAGAGAGAGAGAGAGAGAGAAGTGACGTCGGCGCATTGAAGAAGACAAGGGACCGCCGGAGGTAAGGGAGACCGAAGGAGAAGAGGAAGGAAGAAGGGCCGCGACCCGTGGCCGTTTTCGGACCTCCGGGGACACCGACCTTCGAGCGGTGAGTCCTTTCCTTCTTCCTTCACCGGTGATTTCAATCACCATTAATCCTCCCTTTTTCGCATGCATGCAGGTCAAGAAACCCAAACCGCTCACCCTGACTCGGTGAGACGAGAGGATTCCTTCTAGTATCTGGATCCGTTCCTCCACCGGTGAGTTTTCTTTCAAAACTTTTACTTCAAAAGCATTTTTTTTAGTTCATTTAAACCTTGTTTTAGTTAGATAATATAATCTTGGATAGTTTAGAGTTAATAGATCTCATATGACTTAAGAAATGTGAGAAGTAGGCCATGCATGCAAGCTAAAAACTCGAAATCAATGGGTTCATCCACTGACCCGAGAGGAACTTTCTGTTAGAGGTTAAATCTCGTGATTTAGGGACATTTTCGTGAGGCAAATCCACAGGGGAGATTGGGTAAGTGGCCTAGTACTCTAAACCTGAAGCCTCACGTTGGAAAAATATTTGATAAAACGCTAGCTTATGATGATTGAAAGTGAGATGCATGCAGGTGAGGTAGGCGATGGGAAAGGAGGGATCCGGGCCACTGTCCAGGCAGTGGAAACTGCCTGGATACGGTCTGGAATGCGGAGTGTTCAAATTTTGCATGTCTTAGTTTTCTGTCTTGTGTGATGGATTCATTGTGTGCGCTTAATTTTCTGTTTGCATGATGTTACTGTATCTGCCATTTAATTTTTTGACACATTATCATTGTGGAAAAATCATGTTATTTTAATTTAATGATATGATCACATGAATTAAATTTATAAAGAATATCAATGAAATTAAATGAAACATATTTTATGATCTAAGTTGAAAGATAAAAAGAGCAAAACTAGACGATATTCAATGAATTAAATTTCAATGTTAAGATTTTGTATAAATTTAAATAGAATATACCAATTTATATCATAATTTTGTATTCACTTTTAATGATTATATAATAAAATATGTTAGCTGAACCAAATTGAAAAAGAAGAAAAAAATTATCTTATTTTATTTTTTTCCACCGAGTATGAGAAAAAAGTTAAATTTGAGTTGTGGTCACCTAAGAATTCCGTTAATTGATCCGGCTCATCGTGCAGCAATCCCATGTGCCCGGCGCCCTGCGGTGACCATTCCATTAGGGTTCCCAAAGCAGATTTAAAGAAGAAAGAGAGAAAGAGGGAGAGTCAGTTGAAAATTGAGAGATGAATCCATTAACGTTAGTGAAGAGAATACAGAGCATAAATTCGAAGGAAGCAGACTTAGGGATTTCAGAGGAGGCATCATGGCACGCCAAGTAAAAGAATCTGCCTACATATTTGTCGGTGGCATTCCCTTTGACCTCACCGAAAGCGATATCCTCGCAGTTTTTTGCCCAGTAAGTCGTCTGATTT